CGAAAAGGGTGCGGCTTATACACCTGAAAATAGGGTAAGTACTATACAGAGAAAACAAGCTACTACACTTTTCTGAAGACTATTTTGAAAAGTTATGAGTTTTGCATAATAGACACCGATGTCTAAGTTAGGAGTTCGTTGAGTGAAAAAAATCAATTATTCACGATGAAAAAGTCAAATCTAGAAGAACATGCTAAGTGAGCATGAGTCTAATCATGCTGTATTCAAGACAGAGACTGCAGCGGCATGGCAAAACTTTTTTCGAGTGAAGGACCGTGACTTCATCCACGGACTCGGATATTTTTTAGGGGATGTGGGCCCATAACCTCTGGGAAGAGGGTGCGTGCCCGCACCCACGCCTATGAAAAGTATTTACAGGTTAATTTGAATTTTCAAATCTTCCAAAATTATTTGTATCATTTACATATAAACAAATCAATTGCATATCTTTATAGGAGTCATAAGTAACTTCTGTCCCCTCCTTCCCCCTCCCCACCTCTTCTGTCCGATACTAGGAGGTATCTACAGGGCTTATCGGATTCAGTGTCGGGTGCACCAGCATTCTCCACTCCCGCGAGGAACTCTGCACCTCTTCCTCCAACTTGCTCTCTAATCATGTCCAATCGAATGCGGTCCCGCCTTTCCACGCTCGGTGGGAAAGTGAACAGAGAGCATGTTCGCGAAGAGATGCAGAGTCCAGGCGAAGCGGCCGCGCGAGAGCGGCTGTTGATGCACCCGACACCGGATTTGATAATCTCTGTATCTACCTATGGGAAGCATCGGAAAAGACACAGATTATACCATAAAGGTTTTCTTTGATGCATTATCCTAATTTTTGTATCTCACTGCTTCGAATCAGAACAGCGCAATATAATTTTTCGGGACCAAATAAATCTTGAGTGCTTACACGGGTTACTCAGATGAGACCACTAATTAATTCTTATCCACATGCAATACTTGATTGATAAATGTTGGCAATTTATACTATATCTAGTTCCTTCATATTTGCAAACTTTTCTAATGCAAAAGCGCCAGTGCGAGAAAAGTCTTTACAGCATGTTTTTGCGGAACGTAAATAATCTTCTCAAAAACTCGTACCGGTGTATGTTGATATTGGTGTTCGTGTATTTCTTATAAAACAATCGAGCATAATTTTTTACCGTTTAGTTACTTACCCGGGTAGATTGTGGTAGTGCGAATACCAGGATGTTGGGCTCCTTTGTCTGACCTTCTTCTGACAAAATCAAACATTTTAAGGATGAAGGAAGTCATAGCTAGATATTTTTCTAAAG